TAGGTCTGGTCGACCGGATAGTCCGCTGCGGGGTAGATGAGGACATTAACCATGACTCTGACCACCTACCGATCGGCATCACGCTAGACACAAGGATCCGAACGATAGAACCCAAACCCAAACGCCCGTGGAAACACCTAGACGAAGAAAAGTTCTGCGAGGCCCTAAAGGAGGTCCTCACACCACAACGCAGGCCAGACATGAAGAAAGCGCTCGATGAGTATGTCCAGCACATCGTCTCCGCAATCCATATAGCGACAGAAAAGGTCCTACCTTTGAGGAGGTCCAGCCCTAAGATGAAGGAAGGGTGGGACGACGCATGCCGAGAAACACTTGCAGAAATGAAGCGCCTCCGTAGAGTTTACTCCCGGCAGCCAACAATTAAAGCGTGGGAGGACTATCAACAAGCTAGGAAACTCAAGGGCAAGACCATCGCAAGGGCACTTCAGAAAGCACATAGAGACCGGGTGACAGAAGCGGCGAGCTCGGCCGAGTCACTGTGGAAGGTCGCAAAATGGGCACGCAACAGGGGCAACCAAGCCCCAAGCATCACACCCATGATACGGAGGCCTGATGCCCCAGGGGATGCCCCAGCAAAAGAACCACAAGTAAAGGTGGATATATTCAGAGAGGCCTTCTTCCCGCCCCTACGGGAGTCGGATCTGAGCGATATCGAAGGGGCGTCTTATTCAGGGCAGGTACAGATGCCGAAGGTCACCAGAAAGGAAGTATTGGAAGCAATCCATGCCGCAGCCCCGCTAAAGGCCCCTGGGCCAGACGGGATATCAAACAGGGCGCTACAGGCAGCCGCAGGAATACTAGTACCGTACCTCACGACCATCATCAATCAAAGCCTAAAATTAGGATACTGCCCGGCCCACTTCCGCGAGTCGGTCTCCTTTGGATGGGCAGTCCCTAGAATCGTGTTCTAGCGCGCAGTAGCCACATGTCTTTGCTGCCTTGCATTGGGTTCCTATGTGGCCATATACCTGACACTTGAAACACTGCTTCAGGCGGCACTGACGTTCATAGCGCTCGCTCTGGCACATCTCTCCTTGCCACACTAGGCCCTCATCGATAATCTTGTTGGCGTCCTCAGGCCTCGTGAATTCTATGATGATTGACGACATTGCTTTACTTGGTGCCCGCCGGGTGAGCCACCCGATGTATTTGATCTCTGCGTCTGGGATAAACGGTTTATTGTCTTGCAGGATGGCGTTTCTTATGTCTTCCTGCTTGTCCATGTCGACTGTACTGACCCGTATGCCGTGTACTAAGACGCCGTAGGTCGGGTTCCTGACCGAGGACCCGCTACCAACTCGTGCTACCCAGTCGTCTGTGATTGCCGCAGGAGCTGCGTCTCCTTACCTGTTGTTGTTCTGATACTGAGGTCCCCGCTCTTCAATTGGTTAGCTGACATTATGGTGATGCCGGTGATGTGTTCGTTCTCGCTTTGGGTAATCGCTTGGTTGACGTGTGTTTTAAGAGTCCGCGGGTTCATCGCTCGTAAGCGTTCGATCGTGTGGCTATCCCTAATGTTTACTATGATCTCCCGCTGGTTCGGCGCGGTAGGAGGCATCCTTTGCTCATGTGTCTGTACGCTGTGAGCGCCTCTGGCCGCCGCCGCAGCGTAGCTCATAGGTGTCCCCTCTTGGGGTCGCATTGCTTTGTTTTTAATGTCCTTCGCTATGTCCACTGTTATCCTGCTAAACGCCGTTGCTTCGAGGGCCGCTGCTTTTGCCTCCTCGCTGATGATTGCTGTCTTTGGGTTTCTGTGGTAAGGCCGCGTATTCCCTCTTTTATCACCGCTAGCTCTTTCGCTGAGTCTTCTGCTCCTGTTCGGAGCTACGCTTGGATAGCACAGACTGCATCATGGACATGGACAAGATCCGGAGCTTGCTGTACCTTTGTCACGAAGTTGAGGGCCGCGAAGATTATTGATTTTACGGGGTCCAGCTCAACAGTGCGGCTGGGCGTGCTATGTACGAACTGCGCTGCCGCTTGAAGGTGCTTCGCCAGTTGGGTAGCATGCTCTGGCAGTCTGTTTGACCAGGACTCCCCCCTGGGCCAGGGAATCGACATACCTGTATTTCACGCGTTGGGCGCCGCGTCAGGCCTGTCAATTCGTCTAACTGCTAGGTAGGGGAGTGTGTATGCACAGTTAGAACTACTAGATTCCAAGAATTCGCGTTCTCGCTGTTATGGTGTTTTTTCTCGCCGGCTGGCCTTCTTTTCACAATAAGGCGTGTCGGCCGCTTGCTGAGAATCACGTGACCCAAGAAAAACTCGAGTTTTGGGTAGAGTGTGTGGAACCCCACAAAGCTCGGTAGGACGCGAGAACGCGCTTCCGATGGTACAGGAAGTCTGCCAGGAAAAGAGTGTGGTGGAGCAGATGCCTCTTGGCGATTTTCAACCTTCACCACCCAGTATGGGAAGTATAGCGGGGTAGATAGACACGAGAAGAGGAAGAAGAGCTATGAGACAGACATTATGCAAAACGCATGCTTGACGAGCACGCTCCGCCATATAGCGATCATATACGAAGAGGAAGAAAAAAGAGGACGAAATTCGACCTCTGTTGGATATCCGCCGGATTGGCAGATAAGAGAATCTGATGCAAGATGGACGGAGATATGGAACATGACTCTGACCACCTCCCGGTCAGCAAGCAAAGTTATGGATCTAAGAATTCAACACCGGTAAGGGAAACCCGCGAGGCAATGGAAACACTTGGGAACTTTTTAAACACATCTACAAACCCTGGAACCATATTTTTGGAATTTACCACTTTAGCGCAACGTAGATCGCCCCAAAATAAAGCCGACATTTGCTCAGGCTTTTGCTGGCTATAGCCCAATACTCAGTATGTCTTAAGGCCGGAGAAAGTGGCCTCCCGTTGAGGTAAAATGCGACACCCTTAAAGACCATGGAGATTGAATCCTAGCGGATATGAACAACCTTATGGAATATGCACGTGCAGGCATGGAAGGAACCAACTGAAAGGGAAAGGACATCCCTGAAAAGGTCTATAAGCCGCTATTTGACAGTATCCAACAGTTTGTGATACGGGCGACGCGCCCAGATAATAATGAACTCGAGCAACAACGCCAAGTATACACACTCATTCAGGATATACACCGAAACGTTACTATTATTAAGGCAAACAGCAATATAGCAAACACGCCCCTCCCAACAAAGAACGTATACAACACGCACCTGGGCACAAATCGCGTCTTCTCTCGCCGCGCCTCCTTTCCTACAACGCACCATGAGCGGGACGTCCTCCGCAGCAGCCTCAATCGAGAGCCCAAGGCACAAGGAGATAGTCATTAGGTATAAAAGGAATAAGGCAGTACCAGAAGCATGGAGAAAGCTAAGGCCCAGTGAGCTAGTCCAAAAGCTCAACGAGGCGCTCGCGTCCACGGAAGACACGTTAATTATGGCAGCCAAGTTCAAGGCAGCCAGAATCAACAGCAGAGGGTCAATCATCGCGCACACGGAGACCGCAGCACAAGCGGAGACCCTGCGCAGGCATAAAGAGGACTGGAAGGGATTCGTAGCAACAGAGGCAGATGTAATGCTGCCAGTCTACCCAGTGATCGTACATGGGATACCAATCAAATCCGTCGACCCAGGAAACAAGACAGCGTTTATTGAACAGCTCAGGATTGAAAATAGACAAGTAATGTCACATGACATGGTAGTCGACTGCAGATAGTACCGTAAATATAGAGACGGCCGAAAGACGGCAGCCTCGTGGTAGACTGCAAAACGCCTGAAGGTGCCAATGTACTTATTAAGGGAGGGACATTAGCATGGAGCCACGGACTACGAGTGGTGCGCAGACACGACCCATCATGCCAGCTTATCAGATGCCTGAAGTGCTACCAGTATAGGAAATGCAAGGGAACCTTCTGCACGAACAAAGAGACATGTGGCAAGTGCGCCTCTGTCGAGCACAACACTGAGGACTGCACATCCTCAGTCCCAAGATGCTGTCTTTGCCACGGCGCATATTACGCTTGGTCAAAACAGTGTCCAAAATATAAAGACAAGATAAGGAGGGTAGAGGTAGCAAAGGCCGAACTAAACGCCCGCCCCTTCTACCCCGAACCATGCTACGAGGTCAGTCCAGGACCTTCTGTGGTCGGCAGCCGCCCTGCAGTATCACAAAACGATAAGATAGAAACAGATCACATCCCAACACAAGCAAACCAGAAAGGAACAAGCTGGACTGGTGTCCCGACGGCAAGCCAAAATGCCCCAAGATCGCGGGCGACAGAGGACCTAGAAGAGTACATCCTGGTAAAAGCGAGGAAATCAAAGACCGCGAATCAACCACTCCGAGAGATCAGTACCAACCCCAGGAAGAGATGACATGACGACCGGAGCCGATCCAGGTCAGAAACCAAAGGGCAAACACGGTCAAAAGCGAGGAGCAGCAGTGCCCGCCGCGAGGAGCCAGAAATCTCGTTGCATATCGACAATGAGAGTGAGCAGGAAGAAGAGTCTGACCTATCGGGGACAATCAGGACATTGAAATATAGGTCTTCATCAAGACCAGCAGTACCATCGAGGAAAGTCAAAGAAAACATGAGCGCGACGCAATGAGTGAAAACATACCAAGGCTATAGACCATAACGGTAGCACAGTACAACGTAGGCGGAAGCTGCAACACCATGGCGGAGGTCCTAAGGGACCCCGTGCTAGGTGAAGCAGATATCATCGCCTTTCACGAGCCGTACATTAACAAATTCGGCACTGAAATCCAGACCCACAACTCAGCAAAGACCAGGTATAAGTATTTATACCAAATCACACCAAGGTAAGAGTGGCAACATTCATTAGTAAGAATATTGATGCAAAGAGCATCGAGCTCACTGATTATGGGCAAAACTTGACGACCGTAACCCTCAAAATGAAAGACGAACGCAGCAAGATTACAGTATACAATGTATACAACCCCAACCCGGAAGCACCGTTTGAAGAAGAGACCGGTCTCCCACATCGCTCCCCCCTGTAAAAGCTCAACCGCGCCCTGGAGCAAAGAAGATCCCACCAAAACATTATACTAGGAGACTTTAACCTACGGGATGAACTCTGGGGTGGACCAGGAATCAAGGAAATAGCATGCCCACGCGTTGCTGACTACCTTCTACAAATACTGGAGTAGCATTGGTTAAACCTATGCTTCAAGCCAGGCAGTAAAACGAGGATAGCCAGAGGAAACGCGCAGTCAGACAGCACCATTGACATGACCTTTGCCACAGAAGACATCCTGGAACGTCTTATCAGCGCAGGTCCCTGGGCAGAACTGGACAAAGGATCCGACCACCTGCCCCTCGTGACCACATTTTGAGCCGGAATCACCCAAGCCGGAGAGGCGGAGCGATAGCTTATCAAAAAGATCGACATGGGAGTCTTCACCGAGGTGCTTCGAGCTTGGCTGCCCGAAATTGAACCAGCAGGACTCACACCAGCCGAAATAGATAGAAAAACAGAAAAGATCCAAGAGGCACTAAGAAAAGCTGTCCACGCCAGTGCACCGAAGGCGAGGATTGGACCACGTTCAAGACCCGGATGGACACCCGAATGCACATAAGCAATCAAGGAATTCAAGAGAGCCCGACGAAGATGGCGAACCACCGGCGATGACATCGACTACATGGTCTTCCAGATGGCCAGACGGACAAAGAAAAAGACCATCAACAAGGCCCTCACAAAAGAACACCGGGAACGTATATCCGGGATACAAGAGATGAAGGATGTGTGGAGGGTAGCTAAATGGGCCAAAAAACAGAGACATCCCATATACGGCCTTTACACCAGACATTAAAGACGCCAACGACACGCCCCAGAAAACGACACAGGGAAAGGCGGAAGCCTTACGACACACGTTTTTCCCAGTTCCACCGGACACGGACACCGATGATATTGACGACGCACAGTACGAACCACCAATACAACTACCCCCAATAACAGAGCATGAAGTGCAAGCAGCGATCAAACGCGCGACCCTGGATAAGGCCCCCGGACCAGATCAAATCCAGAACAGAGTGCTGAAGCTGGCCATGACGGAGCTGACGACGCCACTGACGAATCTTTTCAACTGCGAGAGTGCGGGACACTACCCGAGCCCGCTGCGCCAGTCCATTACCGTGGCACTCCGGAAACCGGGGAAAAACGACTATACAGCAGCCAAATCATACCGACCAGTAGCGCTACTCAACATTATTGAACGATACTAGACAGCATCATGGCCAAGAGAATCAGTTATATAGCTGAACGCTGCGGCTTACTCCCCCGATTCAACATGGGCGGACGCGCAGCAGTAGGATGCGAGCATGCGGTCCACCTCATCTTAGAGAAGGTCCAGTGGGCAAGACAGAGAGGACTAGTGACCTCAATGTTGCTAATGGATGTCTCAGGAGCATTCGACAACGTCTCGCATAAGAGACTCTTCCACAACCTCCGGATAAAAGGGACTCCCAACGTCGTGGATCAGCTTACTAGAAAGCTACCTCTCCAATCGGAGCACGAGGATTCAGCTTCCGGAAGGAGAATCAGAGGTCTTCAGCACTCCGCACGGACTGCCCCAAGGTTTATCCTTATCACCAATCCTATACCTCTTCTACAACGCACCACTACTGGAGACCGACAGCTAAGAGAACCTGATTGTCGGGTATATTGACGACATAGGACTTATTGCACACGGTCCTAATATAACAGCGAATAATGCCACAATTAACCGTATCCATATGAGAATGGAAGACTGGGCCCGTAAGGCCGCGTCAGTATTCGCCCCTAGCGAATACCAACTCATTCATTTCCACCCTGAAGATGACACCTTATCTACTAAGAGGGGCATAGAAGGACCGCCCAATACCACAGTTAAAACGAGCAATAACCCCGCGAGGAACAGTGGGGATGGAGCGTCAAGCCGACCCACGGGCGTGAATGGACACACTATGACCCTATCCCCCTCAGAACCGGGGGACGATAGTCCCCAACAGAGAGACATCCTGAGCGTACTGACAGCCCCGACAAACACAAAAACGCTGGCGGAGGGCCACACCGAACACACGGCCTCCCACACCGCAACACCGGGACGAACTTGCCCCAAGCGCAGGTAGACCAAGCAGACTCAGAAGCCCTTATACTTAGGACAGCTAATGGCAATGTACACACCATTCAACCGGAACAACACGTACGCTACCTGGGCGTGCAGATCAGCTCTAAAATGACCGACAATCACCACCTACAGCACCTAGAGAAGAGCGCGTCGAAGCAACTGCAGGCACTAGCGCAATTGGCACGATCCAAGTGGGTGGTCACGTCCGCCCAGCAGAGGAAGGTTTACAAAGCCACAATACTACCGAAGATCCTATTCGCGGCATCGTGCTGGTACTTCCCGAAGGGAGGGAGAGGCTTCAACGCCCAGAGAAGCCAAATCGAAAAATCTCTAGCCAGCATACAGAGGTGGGCGTTATGCTACGTCAGCGGGGCATTTAGAACAACGGCACTGGCCGCCCTTGAGGCTGAACTCTACATACCACAAATCAAAATAGCACTCCGCAGAGCATGCGAGGCAGGCCTGAACAGAATCCAAGCATCGCCACACTACGAGTATATCAAGGAAATACGACAGAGAACGTACCCGGGAGCGAAAGCATCAGCGCAATACCGATTGCTCAGCCCCCTACAGAAGCTCGAGGAAGCCCAAACGAAGGAAGACCCGAGTCCAATGCAGAGAAAAGTGATCCAACCCGGGCTGTTTACACCCTTGGAGAGAAATCTCCAGATAGTAATAGTAGAAAAGGAAGAAGCGGCGGAGGCTGGACATAACACGGAAGCACAGGACGCGAAGGAAGACACGAGCCACTGGTGTTTTTATACGGATGGGAGTGAGATTGAGGAAAGAGTAGGAGCAGCTGCGTATAACAGCAAGCTAAAGAAGCACGAAATGCGCTACCTAGGCACCAATAGGGAGAGCAACGTTTACGCAGCTGAACTATCAGCCATCGTACTCGCCCTCAAAATGGTAATCCAAGCTAAACGGGACCCGAACATAAAACATCCGCTAATGAAAATCACGATCTTCGCGGACAGCCAGGCAGCCCTCCGGGCGATCCACAACCCGGGCAACGGCTCAGGTCAATCACTGGTAAACAGGGTCAGAACACACGAACAAGCGGCGCTCCAACTAGGGATCAGGACAAGATTTCAATGGGTCCCGGCACATATCGGAATCACCGGAAATGAGATAGTTGACGAGCTGGCCAAGAGAGCCACAGGACGGCGAAAGGACAGACTCCCTAAACCGCCAGCAAAGAGGATGTAAGGGGCAGTCCGAATGAGGTCAGCAGCAGAAAGGTGGGAGAAGAAAAAGGCAAAGAAAGATTGGGCGAGCAGCTGGGCTAGAGCAAAGACAGGAGGCA